TTCCTTTTTTTTCTTTTTTTTTTTTACAGCGCTGTTGATAAGGCCCATTTGAGGCTTGCTGCAGCCAAGGCAGTTCTTCGTCTGGCAAAGAACTGGGATCACAAAATCCCTCTAGATGTCTTTCACTTAACCTTGAAGATACCGGAGGTGAGTTCTTATAAGACTGTCATCGTGTACTTCTCTTGACATAAATGGTTGCTCTTCTAACACAGTCTCTCATTGACCCTTTTTTCTCTCATGTTCTTTTTGGATCTTTTAGATCTCTTTTCCTCAAGCTAAGAAATTATTTCTCAGCAAAGTTCATCAGTATATAAAGGATCGGCTCTTGGATGCAAAATATGCCTGTGCTTTCTTATTTAGCATAACCGAGGGCAAGCCGCTTCAGTGTGAAGAGGTGTCCATACTAGACTCAATGTGTTTAAAGCAGATCTATTTTTTTTAAAGTTTCTTTGGTAATATAGCAAGATTTGTGAATTTTTATTATTTTTTATTGTGTTTGAAATGGCAGGAAAAACAGAACTTAGCCGACATCATTCAAATGTATCAGCAGACAAAGGCACGGCAAATTTCTTTACAATCAGATGCAAATTCTTCCTCAGCATATCCAGAGTACATCCTCCCTTATTTGGTACATACTCTTGCTCATCATTCATGTCCGGACATAGATGAGTGCAAGGATGTCAAAGCATTTGAATTAATATATCGGTATGTATATTATTTCCTCTATTTGTCTTGAACTTACAGACAATCGCATTTGTGATAGTGTCATATATGATTGTCTTTGAAACTATATGAAGAAGACTAAGAGAGAGATCATCAATGAATTTGTACCTAATTTGGTAATTGGTAGATACTGTAAATATATCGTCAATGAATGCTATCTCTTCTGTTTTTCTCAGGCAATTGTACTTGATTATTTCTATGCTGGTGCATAAAGATGAAGACACGAACTCAGAAGGTAGTACCAACAGAGAGAAGGAGATTATATCTGCAGTAAGTTCTATCTTTCAGAACATTAAGTGCTCAGAAGATGCAGTTGATGCCAAAAAGTCAAAGGTTGGGTAAAATTTTTCTAATTATTGTATTTTATACTATCCTGTAGTTGTTACTATTTTTGGTTCTAACTTATGCAGATCCTATATCTTTACTCTACGTTCCTGAAAAAAGAAAATAGAACTCTAAGCTTATGTGAATAAATTGGTTTTCAGAATTCGCATGCTATCTGTGACCTTGGTCTCTCTGTAACTAAGCGATTGGCGCATAAGGAGGATGATTTGCACAGCCTGATTCAACTAGTCTCTCTGCCCCTGATGCTCTACAAACTATATGAGAAGGAAGAGGGTGGTGATTCTATGGTAAGTTCATCTTCTCATTCAGTTGGGTCGTTCTCAAGTACGTTAGAGATGAAAATGTTGCTTGTTCTGTCATATGTATGTGATAAATATTTTGTTGTTTTGATTTATTTGCTTGGTATTGCCTGTCTACTGGTTTTAATGAAACAATATTTAAATGGTAATAGTGATTGAGTGCTTGGAAATATATGTTATCAGATTATTTGAACAGAAAAGTGTTTTTCAGTATGGACTGCACTTTGCTGTGCAGGCTGGGTACTGAAATTACCGAAATACCTTTAATAAAGCTGCCCTCCATGTTTATTCATTAATGGTGTTTTGATCATTTCAGTACCTGGACTGCACAAAAAAAGTGCAGTCTGTACTGAAAAACACCTTTCTCTTATTTGAAATTTTTTCACAGCAATTATGCTGTGGTGGAAAAGATATGTGTTCATATTTGGGGTATTTTATGGTGTTCATATTAAGCTGAGAGGGATTTACTAATGCAAAATTGAAATACATGTGTGGATGTGACCCTAAGTGAATACTTTACAACTGCCTAAAGGATAAGCCCTATCCTTAGAACTTCTCTGCAACAAATTTGATCAGTCTATGCTCAATGATTTGCTATGTTATTGCACTTAATTAATTGTATTGCATGTTTATGATAGGCTAAGGAGGGGCAAACATGGTTGGCTGATGAAAGTGTTGTATCTCACTTTGAATCACTGAAGTTGGAAAGTGATGACAAGGTATGTTTTCTGTGCATTGTCACTTCATCTGTAGACTATAGAGCACTTGTTCTTTGGCATCTTTCACTGACTCTTCTTGCTCTTTTGTTAATCACATCAGGATCATTCAGAGATTCTTGAGAGTGAGGCTTTCAAAGACAGTGATGGAGATGGAAATGAAGTGCCCATTGGGAAAATTATAAAACATATAAAATCTCAAGGAACCAAGGATGGAAAGGCAAAAAAGAAGAAGTCTCTATCAGCAGGAACAAAAAATGCTAACAATGATGTTGACATTTTGAAAGTGGTGAGGGAAATAAACTTGGATAGTCTGGGTGTATCTAGTAAGTTTGAATCAAGCAACGGTCATGAACATTTTCCAAGAAAGAAAGCTAAATTTGGGCAGGAGCATCAGGGTAAGAACATTTTCCCAGTGCCTAAACGGCGCCGTTCATCATCCACTCGTAGTCCTTCCAAAGTTTCAAGAAGTGCTTTGAAGGTTACTTCAATAGTTTCTGCTAAATTGGATGAGGATGATTTCCATGATTCAGAAAATGAGGGAAATACAAAGTCTAAGGTATCAAGCTTTCATAAGAAAAGAAGCATCTCATCAAGAACAAGAAGAGATGACAAGGGCTCTGATTCAGATGATGATGCAAATGAATATGAAACTGATAATGACAGTCTGGAGGTGACCTCTTTGTACTGGTCAAAGTTGTTGCTAGAGGTGCATATATTGTGTGATTTTTATTGTTGTTGATGCTGTGAGCATTTGTTCTTTTAAATTATTACTGCAGAAGTCTAACATGCTGATGGAGACGGATAACGGTAAGACAAGTAATATAAAGTCTGCTGCTGGATCGAACAAGAAGCGGAAAAGGAGGAGCGTTGCCGGATTAGGGAAGGTAGATTTTTTTCATTTCATTTTTTAATCAATACGTTTGTTATTCATAGGTGCACTTTTATGCAGTACTTGTTAAACAGCTAATCTATTGTAAGTACCTCAATATAGTGATGCAAACAACAAACCATTGTGGTTTATCCAAAGCTGCTACTATCTGTTCCTATAAAACAAAAGGAATATTCGTTGAGTGGTTTTGTCTCATTTGTTTCCCCCTCTTATTGGCTCAACATAAATTTCTAGTTTTATTTTTTTATTTTTTTGATACATTTGATGATGAGCTATATAATAGGGTACTGACCCTCTCCATCAGCCTCAAAGTTCAAACTTGAGACCTCCTACTTAAGAGTCTCAAGTTCTTATTTTGCATGTAGAAGTTGTTCCAAACAAAAATTCCCACAACTATGTGAAAAAGTGCACCAAGTGTTTCTCAAGCCTTTTTAAATGTCTGTTTAAGCCCTGTTGCTTCTCTTTGATGCATTTCATCCTCTTACGAATTTGGATCAATTGAGTGCAATTATTGATAGCTACGTGTAACTTTCCTGAAAAATTTTATCTAATCAGCTTAACCTTTTCTCTTCTTCAGTGCACAACAAAGGAGAGTGGCATTGATTTTGAAGACTTGATTGGCTGCAGAATAAAAGTCTGGTGGCCCATGGACAAGCAGTAAGTCTGCCACAATTATTGCCATTTATTTATCATGCCTGAATTGTTGTTGCAATTTGTTTTATGATACTGCACTCAGGACTATGAGCATTCAGAAGGGTTTCATCTATTGGGATTTTTAAATCAGATGAAGCGATAATCTAACTCCTTGTTTACTCTCAGATTCATCCTCTTTCAGTGTTTCTGCTGAGGGTCAAACAACTGTTCTTCTAGAAACTTTCTTTTTAATGTCATATCTTTTTTTTTTCCTCTCTTTTTTTTTTTTAAATACATGCACTAGGGTACTATTCTAGTTATCTTAAAATTTTCATATGAGGATTCTTACTGGGGGAAATAACAGGTTTTATGAAGGCACTGTTAAGTCTTATGACCCTTTAAAAAGGAAGCATGTGGTAAGTTGCAACCTTACTTGCCTCCATTCCATCCCTTTCTCTTTATGAATTGCTTGATGTCAATTATCAAGATATTTCATGCAATATGTGTGACATTTTTCTTGTTAGATATTGTATGATGATGGGGATGTGGAGGTACTCCGTCTAGATAGAGAGCGTTGGGAGCTCGTTGACAAGGTTCGCAAAACTGGAAAGGTTGGAGACAATCTTCAGCATTGCTATCTAAAGCTAATCACTCCATTGACATTTTGAAGCTTTGTTTGCGTTTTTAATTCTTAATACTTCTTTTCTTTGCTCCATGTGCAGAAGTCAGGTTCATTGAAAGCCTCTTCTAAGGAAATGTATGTATTCCGCTTTTAATACAGTCTCTTGGATACTTAAGTTGCTTGTACAGAGTGAAATTAAACCTAAGTTTACTGAAAGCCTGATATGACTTTGGGATTGGTACCTTGTTTAGAGGACAAATCTTGTTATTGCATTTAAAAGGTTATGTTTATTGTTTTACAGGCCTTCTGGTAAAAAAAGCAAGAATTCAGGTGGTCCACGTCAAAATAAGAACTCAATGAAGATGTGAGTAAAATCCTGCGTCATGGACTTATTTTATGCAACCATATCTTGTCTTTCAATAATTTTAAATTGATTGATTTGATGTTGTAGAGTTAAAGGGAAAAGAACTCCAAAGAAAAACTTGAAGCGTGCTGCAAAAGGTGCATCTAAAAGCAAGTTTACTCATGTTGATGATAAAGGGAATTCTGATGAGTCAGAAACCAAGGTCACGGTTTCAAATAAAGATAATACAATGGACTCAGGTATTTTCTTCATGTATTTCCAATATTAACGTTAAACATCCTTGTCTTCTGCACTGTGCTATTAAGTTTGAGTTTTAACTTTGGTATTACGTAAATATGATGCTTTTAGCAAATTTGTATGATCATTTTCTGGTAGCACATGGTGTGTGTCAGTTGTGAACTTGAGGAATAAGTACGAGGCAGTGGGTCTTTTTAAAATTTTTATTTTGTAAAAGTGTTGTCATTTTTTGTTAGCAGATGATTCTCAAGCGCACACAGAAACGGTGGATGGGAATCAAACAGATAGAGAAGAATCTAATAAGGAAGTTGATTCAGTTTCCCAAGAAAGACATTCAGAAGATACAAAGGAAAGCCCAAGTCATAACGAGGAATCAGAGGAAGTAAAATCGGATCCTGATGGGAAAGTTGATGAAGACATTGAGAATGTTCCAAATGATGATGAAAAGGATGATGAGGATGATGAAGAGAAATCTCACTTGGAAGAGAAAGTAGCAGATGAAGTGAACGAAGATGAAGCTAATAAAGGAAAGAAGTCTGAATCAGAGACGAATCAAGCAAGTGATACTGTTGAGAGTAATAGTAAAGGGCAGAAGAAATCACGTAAAGGATCTTCATTACCTTCTAATGCTGCGGATGCTGGAGTCTCTGATGACGAGCCTCTTGTAATTACATCCGACCTCTCATTGTATAATGCTTTCTAAGCTACATGACATCGTTGTTTAAATTTCTAATTTGATTTTCTAATCATGCAGAGCAAATGGAAGAGTAAAGTGGGGAAGTCAACCCCCAAGCGAGTAAGGTAGGCAGTTCAACATCGATACAACTCTTCCTCCTTAGATTTGAGAAAAGTGCTGTGTCCAGAGCCAGAGCTATCAGTCTCATAGACAGTAGCAGATGAAGACCATTTGACCATGTACAGACACTAATAAATGTCCGAACGGTTGCCCTTAGTCTCAGCATAGAATGTAAAATAACTGTAGGCACTCCCACATATAAGGAACGCAGTGATTGTAAGAACTTAGGGCAACTAAGTCTAGCCTAGGTCATCTGTACTATTGGTAGATGGTAAGATTGTATTTTGTTGTAGTTCATTGTCTAACCGCCACGACTTATGAATAGATAGGGCAGGCAGGGCACATGTAGAGTTATATTTTGGGATATATGTTTAATTTTGTTCAAACTTGAAACATACATTACGTTGATTACGTTGCGACTTTTGTCTTGTGGGTTTGTTGATGCCACTATGATTGCCAGCACAAACAGGCTTGAAAGCTATATGTGAATGAATTGTCATCATATTGGTTTGTTTTGAAGATGATAGCCTGCTTTGTGACCATTGTGAGGGTGATGTTAGGACAGTCCTACAAGGAATAGGAGTTGAAGGTGTCAACCGATGGCGTCCACGTCTACTCCATTATTCTATTTTCCACAATTGACTGCTTTTGTTTCAGAATTTGGAATTGGGACTCAAATCTCTAATCTTGGTGTGCGTTCAACTGCAAGTCCACCATCACCAACCTAACCCAACACTATTTACACTTATTTGTTTTACACGGGAAATGACTTGGTAAACTTTGCCAACAGAAAAGAGCGTGATGACTTGGTAAACTTGTAGGAATTGTACCATCAAGAAGTAAAGGTCATGATGGTGAAGTCTGCATAGGTTGTTCAATGGTGTCCTGAAGTTCAAAAAGGCCAAAAAGATTGAGTCAAGCATAAAATTCAAGATAGAACAAAGATGAGACCGGAGGGGGGACTTTTCTTTATTTCGGTGTGCTAGGGACATGGTCATAGGAAAACAGAAATTAAGTGTTTTGGCCAAAAGATATCTCAAAAATATCATGATGTTTAATAATATTTATATTATATTTTGCATATTTAATAATTATGAGAAAAAATTATAAAATTTTTAATGTAAGAACATCTTATTTTTTCTCCTCCCTCTATAAGTAAATCATTTACACTAGAATTAAAATGATTAAAGGAATTGCCTCTTTGTAACATTTCTAACAAAAAGAATCTTAATTCATAATGGATAGCAACACTTGAATTTTGGCTAAAAAAAGTGCAGATCTTGCAGCGTGCTTGGATAAGAGATTTGGAGGGGAAGAGGAGGAGAGGGAGGGAGGGAGAGTTACCTCATTCTCTCGTTTGGATTGTCTTTTCTAATGGAGGGGAGAGATGAAGGGAGATTAAGCTCTTTTCACCCCTCTAATTTTTATCCCTCAGCAACAGATTCCATCTATGTATTTATTAATTTTTAAATTTTTTAAAAATAAATAAATATAATTATTTTATTTTAATTATTTATTTAA